CTGATTTATAAAAATAGGGAAGAAGACTCAGATCCTCAAATTTAGATGCATAAATACCTTTGAGGATCTGGGCCGAAATGCCCACAAAAGCCTTCTTAAGGTGTATCTATGTAGTGTGTAGTGTGTAATTGTGTTGCATACTAATATCCATGGACTGAAGAGAGACACAGTTTTATGGCTCTTTACAACAATGTGTATCACCTTCTGCCTGCTAACCCATAATTGCTCAGTTCATTTTAAGTGGTCTCCTACAGAATGTGTGAACTACTTATGCTTAACAATCTGTTCCACCTGATATTTAACTCAGACACTTTGATTACCTTCTCCAGAACTGAGGAAGAGCTTCCAGCAACAGAAATTGATCTAATAAAAAATATTACCTTCTTTCACTCCAGAATATAATGTTTTACATAAAATAATATTCTTATATGATCTTTGATCCCATGTATTTGAGGCTTATGTAAATTTACAGGAAACATTTTTGATAGAGAGGAGTATTCTTTGTCACACACAGTAGAAGTCAAGTTTACATGCGACCATTCAGGCAAGGCTCACCTCCCTACCCCAAAAAATCCAACCCAACCCAACACGCAAAGAGCTCAGAGAAGTATTAAAAGGCACTGTAGAAAATTTTAAAATCTATTCTTGTTAAGCGCTCAGCTTTACGCTTTAAGAACAGGTAGGCTGGCTAACAGTAACATGCAAGAAAAACAACATGGTTATCAGAACAAACCTATATTAGGACCCGACTCAGCAAAGCATGCACTTAATTCTCTTGAAGTGAATAGCATCTGCTTATGTGCTCTGTTGAACTGGAATCTTAAATAGGCCAAAGAGGGATGATAGCTAGTACTGTGTTTGGACTGAAGAACCATCATCAGTTCTTCCTAGATTTCCCTAGAGAGAAGCTGCTGGTGCTTAAAAAAAACCACCTAAAATCAAGACCTATTTCTTCAATGTATCCTTCCCAAAACAGCTCTACTCACAGTCTTCTCCCATGTAGGGGAGGTGGGAAAGAACAGTGGCCAATACCAGGTGCCCCAGAGGGAATGAACAGAACAGGTAATCATCAAGTGATCCATTCCCTGTTGCCTATTCCCAGCTTCTGGCAAACAAACAGAGGCTAGGGACACCATCCCTGCCCATCTTGGCTAATAGCCACTGATGGACGTATCCTCCATTAATTTATCTTGTTCTTTTTTGAACCCCGTTATAGTCTTGGCCTTCACAACATCCTCTGGCAAGGAGTTCCATAGGTTGACTGTGTGTTGTGTAAAAAAATACTACTTTTTTTTTGTTTTAAACCTGCTGCCTATTAATTTGATTTGATGACCCCTAGTTCTTGTATTATGAGAAGGAGTAAATAACACTTACTTTCTCCACACCAGTCATGATTTTATAGACCTCAATCATTATCCACCCTTAGTTGTCTCTTTTCCAAGCTGAAAAGTCCCAATCGTGTTAATTGTGCCTCATATGAAAGCCGTTCCATACCACTAATAATTTTTGTGCCCTTTTCCGAACCTTTTCCAATTCCAATACATATATATTTGAGATGGGGGGGACCACATCTGCATGCAGTATTCAAGATGTGGGCTTACCATGGATTTATGGAGAGATCATATGATATTTTCTTTCTTATTATCTATCCCTTTCTTAATGATTCCCAACATTTTGTTCACTTTTTTGACTGCTGCTGCACATTGAGTGGATGGTTTCAAAGAACTATCCACAATGATTCCAAGATCTCTTTCTTGAGCTAATTTAGATGCCATCATTTTATATATATAGTTGGGATTATGTTTTCCAATGTGCATTACTTTGCATTTATCAATGTTGAATTTCATATGCCATTTTGTGCCAAGTTTTGTGAGATCCTTTTGTAGCTCTTCACAGTCTGCTTGGGACTTAACTATCTTGAGTAGTTTTGTATCATCTGCAAATTGTGCCACTGCAAATTGTGTCATTATTTACCCCCTTTTCCAGATCATTTATGAATATGTTGAATAGGACTCCTCCCAATACAGACCCCTGGAGGACACCACTATTTACCTCTCTCCATTATGAAACTGACCATTTATTCCTACCCTTTGTTTCCTATCTTTTAACCAGTTGCCAATTCAGGAAGAAGAAGATGGAAAAAAGAAAAATGCTGACAACCTGCTAAGCTATTCCTGCAGGCAGAAAAAGAAGAAAGTCCTGTTCATTGTTATTTAAAAATAATTTTGGAGACACTAAGATACTATAATCACAAGGGCCCTATATGTAATTACATAGATAAAAACCACCACAAATACATATCCCTTTAGGAAAAAGTCCAAGAACTGAACAAACTTTGACACTGAATTCTCCTTTCACCAAAGGTAGGCTGTGGCTATGGAGCAGTGCTGAGTAACACTGTGGTGTGGGGAAGATTATACTGTCACTCCCTATACTATGTCTCTTTTGTGACTAAGGAGAAGATTTCAGTATTCAACAGTATCAATGTGACAACTTTCATAAGCTCTGAGATTCATAAAAAACAGTTGATGCATAGTATCTAAAGTTTATATTCAGTAAAGCAAAGGGTGAAATACAGAAGTTACGGTTTAAACCATGTTAGAATGTATGTGTCCCTCCTGTCATGTTTATGAATTTGAACTATGCATACTTAATGTACTTCTCATGTATAGAACTATTGATACTAGAGATCCCATTGTGGTAATATTTATAAATAGCGGTATAAGAAAAATGCATCTTCCTGAATCCCGTGGGGGAAAGTAGGGCAATTTAAGTGTGGAAGTGCACAGGGTTGTAAAGCTAAACAGTCCCAATGAGAAAGAGCTTCACTAAATGTTTATATTAAGAAAAAAGTCAAACGTGACTGTTCTGAAAATATAGTGCATGCACTTTACACCTTAATTCAATACATCCCGTTAATTCCAGAACAGACCTTGGGAGAAAAGGAGGTTTCCTTAGCATTAAGAAGCAAAGCAATTATTTTAGCACTGACTAAAATGTTGGTGTGTTAATGCTAGAGAACCCCCGATCTTCTTGCTCCTCCACTCTCGTATTTAACTGTTACATTTTAAAGAAAACCTGGGGGGAAGGGTCCGTTTAAGCAGATGACATTCTGGAGTGCCCCCCAACAATGCATCTAACTCGAAGAATGTGTGGGTGTGGAGAGACACACATCAGTTCTAGAAAATGAGGTCGGAGGTATTACTATGTAATGGTGACTGCTGGGGCAGCTGCAGTGGTGAAAGCAAAAGTAGGCACAGGTGCAACCACAGAAATAGAACAAGGAGGATGTGTGGCCGAACAGCACATTTTATCTTATCCCTCTTTTAACAATGTAACTAAAATGTGGTTAATCCATCATTTTGTACCTATCCTTTCTAGTAAGTACAAACTTGTCTTATCTCCTTCATAGCTGCGGTTCAATCTCTTCTTTCCCTTTATCCCCCCCCCCCATTTCCTTTACTACCTTATCTTCTCTTCTGTCATTTTCAGTCTATTCCCTCCCCCATATAATTTTTCTATATTGTGTGTCCTCCCTCCCCCCATTTCTTATGCGCTCATCTCTTCTTCCTTCGCCCATTTTCCTTCCCTCGCCTCTCTGGCACCCTTTCCCCCTTTCTGCTCTCCCTCACGCCTGCTGTATTGCCTCCTCCTTCACCTTGTCCTGCCTCCTCCCCACACCAGAGCAAACCCACTCGCCTGTCTTATCCCCCAACACCTGCCTCTTGCACACACTGCCGCCCCCCTCACTCACACATGCACCAGCACAAGCAGGCTCCCCCAAAACCAGCTCAGACAAGCTCCTTGCCCTCCCCAAAATACATCCGCGAGTACAATTGCAGGGCTTCCCCCTCGCCCCGGTCCAGACTGAGCTTGCTACAGAGACCCCCCCCCCACACACACACACACAAAGGGCACGCTCGCGCGCACACACACACACACACACACTCCCTCTCCCAGCCCCAACACGGGCAGCCTCCCCTCGTCTAAGGTTCCTTCTCGTTTTGCCTCCCCAACCGCACCGGTATCTTCCCCCCCCCCTCCCCGCCCCAGTCCCGCACGGAGGTTCATTCACAGCCACAGATGTTCGCACCGCCCTTTACTCGCCATTCGCTCCTTCTCCTTCAGCCCGCTCTTCTCTCACTCCCTCTCTGCCCCCACCTGTCTCTCCCTCACTCGCCCCGCTTTCCCCAGACCCTTTCCCCAGACTGAAGCTCTCAACACCTCCTGGCTCAAGAGCGCTCTTCCCTTCCGAACTCCCCCTCTCCAGGCTCCCTCTCACCCCATCTCATCCCCTGGGATGAAAAGGGACCGGGGCGACATGATTCCCCATCTCCTCAGTGGTTGCGCCTTTGAAGGCGGAAACTACCACGGACAGCTCTTCCCAGCCACCGGAGAGCCACTGCCCCCAGCGCACAGCTCAACGCCCATTCCCGCAATGGGCCACTCGCCCTGCCCAGCGCTCAATGCCCTGCCCGTCCCTGGACCCTCCTGCCCGTCCCCCAACCTCACCGCAATCCCCCGAACACACACAACTCCCCCTCCCAAGCCCCTGGGACACCGCCCTCCTCTGCACGCCCCTCTCCCCTCCGCCCCACCAACGCCGGGCAGAGGGGCACGGCTAGGCAGCAGCTCTTTTACCAGCGTTTAATCTGAGGAGGGCTCTGACAGCAGCTAGGACAGATGGCTCCGTCCTCATACTCGTAGTGAATGCAAAGGAGGTGAAAGAACATCGGGGCGGGGGAATGGCCCACCCCATTCCTGGCTGGACTAACTGCTCCCCACATCAGATCCGCTTTTGAAGGATCACCACCCCCCACATTCCCTCCTGTGGGACCAGTCCCTCATCCTCTTCCTCAGGGTCAACCCCCACCCCCCGCCGCCAGACATCTCCTTCTAGGGGATCCTCTCCCTGTCCACCGCCACCCCCTGAAACATCAGCTCCCCCCCCCCAGCACAGACACACAGGTCTGAGGGATCAACCTCCTCTCTTCCCCCATCCACCCCCTTCTGTTGCAGTGCTGCTTAGCCCGGCTGTCAGTCTGTCTGGGAGCTCCCCTGAGTGGCTGTGGGCAGCCCATTGCCTGGGCTTGGTCTCCGCCCTCCCTCCCTCTCTCAGCTGGTCCTAGCGTTCCAGTTGCTCAGGAATGTGGAGAGCTGGGTTCTGGCGGCTAGCAGGAGCCGGAGGGAGGAAGGGAAGCTGAGCGCACGCTGCCGCCTCTGCTCTGCCTGATCTTCCCCTTTTGGAACCGTCGTTTTCTTTAAATGAAAAATACAAACCCTACCGAGCTGGTTCCCAGCCGCGCCACCACCAGAAAATGTTCGGCCAAGTGCCAGGCGCCGGTGAATAACTAACCCCAGACTAAAACTTCCCTGCCAGTGGGATTACAGGTGCAGCACTGCCGCAGGGAGCTCTCCAGGGTGCTGACGTCCCGGCAGTTTCCTCCAACAGCTCCCAAGACTGAGCAAATTTCCTAGGCACTCTTTCTGGATCTTCCATGACTCGGAAACGTCTGCTCTGGAGGTTGTGAATGCCTCGTAGTAACATGGCCAAGGTTAGATACCTTCGTGCAGCTGTTTCGGGATTTTATCTGTGGGAAGCTGCAGTTCTGCTCAGGTGAGTCCCTCCAGGGTGGGAAACGGAGATCACAAACGTGCCCCCAGTGGTTTTTCTTGCACAGCTGAAATGCTTGGGACTCATGGATGATGCACAGTTGTTGCTGCCTCTCCAGCCGTACTCGCCACAAATGTCTAGCCTTCAATAGCCTTCTCATTGTCAGTGACAATTAAATGTATGGGATCTGTGTCTGAGGTAACTTTGAGATACTGGAGTGACGCTGGATTTCAGTTTCATTTTACAATGTAAGGTTCCTTGTTTTATTTAGAGCTGGGGTTTCCCCTTGCACAGTTGGCCAGTTAGCTTCTGTTTTGTTACATTCTTTCTTTTTAAATGGAAAATGCTACACTTACCTCTTTAAAATTCTTCAGTTTAGAGCTATATATAAAGTTCCACGAAGTTTATTCAGAGTTTGTAATACATTTGATTTCAGTTACTACTATTTTATTTTAATTAGTATAGGGTATCTAATTTGGGGACTTTATGAGGTCATGAAACTTTCATGCAGAAACAGGAACAATGATAGCCAGGTGGAGAGAGGAAACTGATTCGAGAATTACTTCCAGGATGTTTACCTACTTGGTGTACTATGCAACTGGGCTTTCTAAAATTTGTGTAGTGTATGATACAGACAGAACAATAAATCAAGAGTTGAGCAGAAAATATTAGAGGACATCCTAGTGCACAAGGTGTTTTCACTATTGCCCAGCACACTTTTCTCAGATCAACTAATAAGATACACAAACATTCTTTTTCTCAAGTTCTCTAAGTGTGGTGGTTACATTCTGGAACAAACTAGACTCCCTCTTCCATTAATCTCTGTATTTATTTTAAAAGGCAAGCAAACGCATAAGCAAACGAAAGTCCCCACACTATAGACATTTAAAAAGCAGAATTCGAGGTCACCCTTTTAATGTTTTTTTGCTAGAATATTCTGCTAGAATTAAACCGGTCAGAAATATGTGAATGTTAGTTTTGTACAGCAATAAAAATAAAGCATAAATACATGCAACTTACATAACACAGAGGCAGGGTATTAATGAGTGTCATATCCTTACTTTTTTTTTCAAAGATGCGGGAAGGAATTAAAAAATGTAATACATAGGTTACTAGAGGCTCTTGTGATAACATGCAGAGGGATTATTTATAAACACACAACTATGTATATGTATGTATAGCACCAGGCAGTGGTGATGGTGAATATATGTTCATTTTAGGTAGTTTTAGGTTAATTGAATCAACACGTAGAATGTAGTAGTATTTATTGTAATCTTACTTTACCTTTGCAAACAGGAACAGATTTTAAGAAACTGGGTCACATGAAGTGGGATTATTTGGTGTTGTGTGGGAGAGTGAGCAGTAGAGAGTGTACATTTTCTTGTAGTTTTTAATATTTAATGTATGGAATAGGAGGATGGACCCATATGGGCTGTAATATACTGAATGAAGTATAATTATAAGTAGAAATGTACTATCAGTTATTGTATTTCAAGGTTAATAATAGATCATGATTTCCTTGACATTTATCTAAATGTCAGTATACTACTGAATGAACAACCAACTCTTTATTTAATAATATAAAACATATGTTATTTACAAAGAAAAGAAATATGTTTTTGGAAGGCAGATAACTCTTTTATAGCATCAGATCAGAAAACATTACTCAAGCAAGTTAACTCATATTTAAGTTCAGATTGTAGAGTGACATCTTTGCATTACATGTGTATACTTTTTTTCCATTTTAAAGCAACAAAAATGTTTTCATAATAGCAGGGTTGTTCATCTAAATGATCATTTTTAAGAATAGCCATGGTCATTATGCACAAAAATCTAGAAGCTATGTTGTGTATGGCTGCTGTGAAGGCAGTTAGGAGGTGGGAGTGCATAGGAAGGTTCTAGTTTTTATTTCCCAGTCAGGGGCAGGGCAAATTTGCAGCCCTTATGCACTCTGGAATACAAAGACTGCTCTTGACTTGAGCTATTAGCATCACAAGCCATCCCAAAAGGATATAGACCAGCCCAGTTCACCACGTCCAAATGAGGGTGTGTTAAAATGTTCCCAAAAAGAAAAGGAGGACTTGTGGCACCTTAGAGACTAACAAATTTATTTGAGCATAAGCTTTCGTGCGCTACAGCTCACTTCATCGGATGCATGAAACCTGTTAAAATGTTGACACGGATGTTTTGCTTTCTGGAAGTCATTGAGACCAGTTCTCCCCTGCTTTGCACCTCGTGTAATCATTTACAACTGGGCAGATGGGGGGTAAACTGCTACCATGTTGTCTTCCCTTTGAGAGACAATCACTTATAGAGATCCACTGGAATGGGGTCTTATACAGTACTTTTATTGAAGAATTGTGCCTTCTAAGCACAACTGACCCCTAAATGATTTCACTTGTTCCAGATATGACACAAAGGTTCTCATTTTTTAAACCATATTAGAGATTAACTTTTCTTACCTCAATTGAATTTTTGTGGGATTTTTTTTTCTGGGCGGGGGTAGGGAGAGGTTAAGTTAAGTGCTCCAGTAGAAGCAACTTAAATGTCTTACCTTGTGATAGTACTATATCTGCATGTTATTTAGATGCCATCTCTGAGAAGGGTAAAACTGATATTTTCAGTACATGCCAAATTAAAAAAAAGGTCTCCTTTTTAAGATGATCTATTTAAATGCAAGCTTGTTATTCTCATCAGTTAGATGCTGAAGGTCCACATTCTGGTATATTTTGTAAAAGAGAAGACATCTGATTTCTTTATGGAAAGAAATAATTTTCCATCCCATTTTCAAGTCCCTTGAAATCAGAAATATGAAAAAAATAGACTCTTGTATGATAACTATTTTATATAAGCTGACATCTGAAAGCTATTTTGCAGCTAGAAGAGTAAAACAACCTTATTTTCATAATAGAAATTTGGTATAACTATTTCTGTGTATTATTATAACAATACAGTTGGTGTATAATGGTGTATTTTAGGTCTTCTACTTCTGACAGTAGTTTATGGAACTTGACAAAAAAGATATGCAGCACTATTATTTTGTATACATTTTGAAGAGCATTCAGTTTAGAGACAATTCTGCTTTCATATCTTCCATGTGTTTCTGTCCTTGTTTATTATTGTATGACAGTTATAAGATGGGACTATTTTAACTCCTTGTTTAGTGGTCTTATTTATAAACAAATCAACACACTCAAGCTCATTTTGAACTCAGCAGCAAGACTCTTTAAATATACACTCAACTTCTCTAAAAATCTTTACATGAGCTTTCAGTAGATTTCTTCATAGATTTTCAAATTCTGCTTATCATTTAAACAACTTCTTTAGGGACTGGGCCTTTCATGTATTTCAGAATTGTTCTTTCAGTGTTCCATTAGCAACTCATGACAATCCTTGCAACAGGGCTGTTATCTTTATGAATCAAGGCTTTTTCTGTTTATACCTCTCTGGAAATTGCTTCTCAAACTCAGAAAATTAGAAATTCTCAATTTTTAAGTCTAAACTAAGTACTCCCTTTTTATTTTTTATTTTTTTTTCTGTAATATTATTGTTTAGTGTAAAATGCCCTGAGTCACCACATGTAAGTAGAGTAAAGTAGAATCTCTGTTTAGGACTATATCTGCTCCTGCTACTTATCTAAAAATAAAATCAGAACCCTTGATAATACTAGAAGTCCAGACTGCCCACTTCCACAGGGAACCCCTGAGGAGAGATTTGAAGGGGAAGAAGTATTTATGAGGGTCTCCTGTGGAGAATTCTCCCTGTTCTACCAGGGAGTAGAATTTGCCCTTCACAGTTAATAGGGATCAGTCAAAATGGCTGTGCATCTGAATGGATCCCATGAGATCAGGAGGAGATCAAAATCACCTGTGTAGAGTCTGGACACTCTGTAGTAGCTCTGGCCTTTGCTTGTTAACAGAGTGGCTCCACTGAAGCCCCTAACAGGACACCCATAACTGTTCCTTTCTCCGAGGTCTCCTTAAAGGGGAGATGATAGCTATCCACATTATCTGGAGTGAAGGGACGGAGCTGTGAAAATGTAGTATAGCTTCTCACTTATTATACTTCTCAAGTAACCTCCGGAAAGGGAGCAGGAAGATTAGTATCACCTCTTGCCTATCCACTCCTCCCTCAACCTGTTCACTAACCCCTTCTTCTTTTCTCTGAGGAGGAATCATACCATGGAAGTCCCTGACTGTATTAGAGAGCAGGATCTATGCAGAGAGAGTGCCTTTTGCTGCATATCCCAGAGGGGTGACTGGGCCTATAGTTAACCACTGTGGGGATTAGTCTTATGTTATGGAGAAGTATGACTTCAGATGAGTAATAATAGCAGCACCAACAAACCTTTCTTCATGCAAATAGCCTTAGTAGTTTAAAAAAATGCCAATTAGAATACAAGAAAATAGTTCATATAATATGAGATGCCATCAGAATTGCCTGTAAGGCCTCAGTAGCTGTTTAAGAAGCAAAGAATGACACCTTTGATGTTTATAAAGCAGCAATTAAAGATCCACGAATTGCAAACTCAATGAATGAATTTATTAAAATCATAACAGATGTGCCTGTGTTGGGGGCAGAGAAATGGAAATTTAATAGTTCAGGGTAATGAAGTACAGAGCCTTTCATCTCCAACCCTAGTCTGTAGCAACCAGAAGCTATTTTCAAAGGAGAGACTCTCATTCTAGATCCTACTGGACAAGTGACAATGACACAGAGGCAGAGCAATTGGACTCCCTATGTGGGTGGATTGCCTTGTAGTTTACAAAACAAAGAAAAAGAGAGGACTTTAATTATCAATGAACACGGTAATTTAAATATGCCAGGTAAAATTCTGCCCCCGTTCAAGTCAGTGGCTTGCTATTTGCCATTCACTTCACTGAGGGCAGGATTTCATCTGCTGTTCCTCATTTCTTAAAATAAACTTGTAAAGAAACTGCTTTCTTGAGATCCTACCTTTGTTTTTGTTATAAAGCAGAAGGAAGAAATATGTTTGTACAGTA